AAGTTTGCCACCCGGACGGTATAGTGGTTAGGGGAGCCAGACTGCGATACCGAAAGGGCTGGTTCGAATCCCGGAGAAGGCGTGGATGTATAATTGTCTGTCCTTACATAGGAGATTATGGTGGCTAATTATTAGGTGCCTCCACAATAAAATGGCCATCACTTCTGGCCATACGAGTGGCCAGTGCCATTATAGGCAAGTGCCCGCCATTGGAAAAAAAAGTTTGAAATTAAAGGTACCGTAGTGGTGTTCCCAAAGACTGCACAAAGTGGGCCAGTATTTTAAATTTCGCGTATTAAAGACAGCTAGTAGAATCGCTAAAGCCGAAATATTCACTGACAGAGCCTAAACTGTAGGCGATAATTATTTATTTAAAACATTAACAACCGTGGACTTAAAAACTTTCAATCAAATCTAATCAATCAATTCTCCTGCGGAGACTGGGAAACGAAAAGTTGTAGTAAAAGTTTAAATCATAATAATCGGTTAATTAACATACATATGTTACGGTGAAACACCGAAATCTGGAGGATGTCGACTTTCACCAGTGAATGTCAACATTCCCATAGTCTCTTGGTGTACGTCCGAAATATTTTCCAAATACTCTTATTTACACTTACACCGGATGACACTTATACCTCTTATTTACACTTACACCGGTCGACGTCTAATGGTGAATGTTGAACATATAACAATATTATATTTTCTTCTCCGTCATTCAGTCGCGAATAAACGCACTTGCGACTTGAAATAAGAACTTAAGAACATGAGAACCTAAAACACACAATACATTCAAAATGAGAAAGGAAAATAATGGAAGTTAAAAACTTACTTAATTATACAGTACGTTCTAAATGAGAAAATAAAATAACAGTAATAAAACACTTACTAAATTATGTGATTCAAATCTTATTTATTGCAACAACTTAAACTATTATGGCACTTTGTGACCTCTCTTTTCGACTTTCAGCGGAGCATATCTGTGATTGTCGACATACACCGGTGAGGGTCCGAATATACAAGAATGTAGTGAAATATTCGGTCTTTCACCGACGTATTTGGTGAATGTTGATATTCTCCGGTGAAAGTCGACATTCTCCAATTTCGGTCTTTCACGGTAAGATATACACTTCAAAGTGACCAATATTTTGGAAATATAAAAGAAACCTCATGCAAGGTCAAAATTTATCATCTTAGCAAAAGATCAGAGTTATCTGGAGTTATAATTTCTTTTACAGTGTAGTTGTATCTTAATCAAGTTGATAGAACATCAATCTGTTTTTGTTTCGCTTAAAGATTAAACTTGAAAGTGCTTATTTTTGGGAGAGGACGTCAGCGAAAATCGAATTCTTAAACTATCACTTGAGGAGCCTGCGTGCAAACGTTTTATCCTTTGAGGCTCCAACATAGCAACGCCTTATCAGTTACATAATAGAATTTTGAAAACGCCTTGAGGATATCGAGAGAGCGTATACATTGTATTAACGAAGATATAGCCGCACTTGAGATCAAAGGGTTATGGGCTATACCAAAGGACGACTTTCGTCACTTAAGAGTGGGTGTGCGGATTTCTTGTTTAAAAAAATTATTCTATTTTTTTTATTATTTGAAAAATATATTATTTGGTGTTTGCTCTTGTATTGTTTTGTTTATATATTTTTAGTCCAAAGGGATTTGAATCCCGAAGGACTATTAGTTTCGTTTTGGCATTTTGCGTCGGACTCATAAATGTCGGTTCACTTTTCAAACTGTTGCCACAAAATGTTAGAGTCCTGCATTATATTTGAAGAAATTAAATAATGAAAAATCTGCATAAATGTATGTATATTTCTCGTATTGTGATAAAACAACGGTACATAGAGTCATCGAATTTTGAATAACGTAATCCTCCAACGAATATGAGCATGTGGAAGACCAAATTTGAAATTTGAAATTTGTTTTATGATCGATTTCCTATTTTTTAAAACTTTGACGAATTTTTGATTAACAAACTCAAGGATTTCAAAGCGAGCAATGGCAACGTTGTGCAGAAAAAACATTTTTATCTCCAGCGCGTGAGTCTCTGTATCGGAAATTCTAAAGATATGCTCGTTTTAAAACTATTTTGCGATATTGCTGTTGCACTGGATCTTATGGTTTAAGTGCGAGGAACATGCTATTTAATAAAGAAAGGTAACACACAAAATGTTAAAAAACGCCCCTTTGGACGTAATTTAAAATCTGAAACATTTCAGATTTTCTATTTATTTTTTTATTTATTTGCAAATGTAATATTTATTTTGACAATTTTATTCTCGATTAATTTTTTATAACTGTATTCGTTTAATTATTATAACTAATTCAGTCTAATGAATCCTCTTAGAGCAAAGGAAAATCTGTGTTTTGGTCCATTTCTTATATTTCTTGGCATTAAATATGAATACCTGGAGTGAATTTGTATTGCAAGAGCTTGATCAACATCGTAAAACAAAAATGCATAATCCATACAATGTGAAGCAGCGTGTGTGTTCCATAATTTTAGAAAAATAAGGAATTTTCTGATTTAATCACACCGTTTTAGAACTATTTCGGGACAGCTTAACTAATATTTAAAATGTAAAGGGTATTTTTCTAAATATTCGATCTGATCGCATTTTTACCTGAACGATAATTCTGCTTCGCGTCGCCAAAACGATTTACTAATATTCCATTTCCGATTAGTAATATTTCTTATTTTACACTTAGGAAAGTTTTACATCTTGCATCTCACAGCGATAGTTTGAAAGAAGAATTAATTTAGAAGTAGCAGACAGTATTTCTTGTTTCGAATAACAAATTGTTGCCAGAAAGTTTTGTTCAAAGACTTTTGTTTTCTTAAAATTCTTTATCGATATCGCTCTAAAAGTGCTTGAACAGACTCTGTATATTATAGATAAACGTGTAACTTTCAAACTAAAAAAAAATTAAACAGCGCATCAACATGTGTTTAATAACATTCCACGATAGTTTAAAAAAGAAAGTTTTTAATACCTTTCAGGAAGAATAACGAATATGCTTTCAATAATGTTTATGTCTTAGTATAAAATTATATTTAGGGGTATCAGAAACCCCTATACCGACAATGTTAAATTGGCCATTTTCGATGTACCTTTTCTCAAACTCTGCTGTAGATACAAGCTTGAAATTTTTTCTGTAATTAAAGTATACCTATCTGATTATACTGAAATGAGCTTTTGAAGCATTTTGAATTTTAGAGTAAATTGCAGAATATTTTGTTAGGCATAATAAAATTTAGCACTTTTCTCACACAAAAAAATTAAATTTTTTTTTTCTAAGTTTATTTCAAAAACCTCATTTCAGTAAATATTAGGGAATCTAATAAATAAGCCATAAAAAGTTTAGATACGCGTGAGCAGTAGTTCCTGAGAAAAGGTACATCGAGTATAAAAATATCACGTTTGGAGAAAAACGCGTTTTTATGTAAAAATCCTCATTGATCAAAGCAGTAGATGACAAATTAAAATTAGATTTTTTTACAGTTCTAATTTTCATAGAGATTAAAGAATGGTATTTTTAGAAAGCTAAAAGTGTAGAGAATTTGAAAATGCCAAAATCCGAAATCACAATTTTTTGAAGATTTTGGGGTTCCAACACCCCTTTAACTAGTGTATCGTTCTAATATCTATACACATCCTTCTAATACATTTCCCAGAATTCAGAAAACACAACAACGTGTAAGTGCAGTTTTTTTCCTCATATGTATTGATACGTTACGCGTTCGTCTTTAATTACCATAGGTTTACAATGCTGTAGAGAAACATTGTTCCGTTCTTGTACAGGTTCGGGGATTTGGAGTGATTTATGACGACACTTGATGAAGTATCAAAACACAATTTATTAGCCAGTGTCAATCAGGAAAATTCCAAACACACGCTTACAGTCGTCGTAAACGTTAAGTACGTTGAAACAATCAGCAATCACAGCCTTCAGACTATCAAGCTACAGCGGTGGAGGTAGCTTCACGGCAAAGCACCAGAGTACAGATCCCGACTCGGTTCGGTCGTTCTCGGAACTCTACATACTCTCGAAACTCTCCACGCTGCAACTCGCGAAGCACTCGACGATAAGCAGGTGAGTACAGCTCCCGACTCGGTTCGATCGTTCTCGGAACTTTACGTACTCTCGAGACTCTCCACGCTTTAACTCGCGAAGCACTCGACAATAAGCAGTAGAGTATAGCTCCCTACTCGGTTCGATCGTTCTCGGAAATCTGCGTACTCTCTCTCCACGCTGCAACTCGCGATGCACTCGACGATAAGCAGTAGAGTACAGCTCCCGACTCGGTTCGATCGTTCTCCGAACTCTACGTACTCTCGAGACTCTCCACGCTGGAACTCGCGATGGACTCGACGACACACGAGCACAGCTCCCGACTCTTCGGTTCAGTCGTTCCCGGAGCTCAACACGCTCTCTCGACGATGCATTAACCGCGATACATTAACAGATTCCTTCGGTGCACTCGACAACCCACTCGGCACTCGCTGCCCGGCTGTCAACTCGACCGACTCCGCAGGGATTGACTCGCCAGACGAGACAGCAGCTCAATACTAACTAACTCGCACTCTAGACGAGGGAGGCGCACACACACTCTGAGACGCACTAACTGACTGCGGGCCAGCAGGATTTATATAGCTTTCGGCCTGTGTTCGGGAACATTCTGGGCTAAACCGGTAAGAATTCGTTCCAGAAGGTTCTCCAACCGTCCATGGTATATCGCCAATTTTGTCGCCAAAAGTGGCAACCCTGCCCTCCTTTGCCATTTATGGCGAACCTAAAACTGCTTAGCGGGGAAGCCATCTTCCCGCGCCTGTACATTTCGTAACAACAGTTAAAATGGTTTCACCGAATGCTTTTAGAATCAATCTTTATCATCAACTAGATCATATTTCTTGTGTAAGTTTCTTTATATATATTCGTAAATCAGTTCAATGCTTGATGGTTAATACATATTTTGTTTGCAGGTTCTGTTAATGAAATCTGGACATTCAAGATGATTTCTGATTATATTCAAGGCGTTTTAAATGCATCTCCTCACTCACTGACTATCACTGTGATAGCTTTGTTATTAGGCTTCATCTACTACATCACGAGGGACAGAGGGTTACCACCAGGTCCCGCTGGAGTGCCAGTATTGGGTATTTATCCATTTTTGAAGGGCGATAATTTGCATCTGCAGCTGGATAAATACGTAAAGAAATATGGAGACATCTGCAGCTTCCGAGTGGCTGGTAAGCTGTTTATCAGCTTGGGAAGTCTGAAGGTCATACGCGAAGCCCATGTTACTAATTCGGAGTCCTTTGGCGGCAGATACACCGATCTCCACACGCTGAGTGCCTTATTTGGTGATGGTAATTATACTCTAGGCTTCTCATCTTCTTGCTTTGCATATTTCACAAAAGTAAAATTTGAAATATATATGTAAATCTTGACAAATACAAACTCTTAGAGTGCAGACATATATCTGGATTACTTCCGCAGTTCATCACTTAAAAAAAAAAAATCTGATGTGTACACCACATCACTTCCTTGTACGGAATATTAAATTGTACGCATTCTTGCTTGACACTCTGGCGCTAAGTTCACTTAACAGCGTTACTCGTTCATTTTATAACTCAGAATGCACAAAAATTATATCATCTGAAGAATCATCTGATCGTTGCCACATGTTTTATCCAAATATTATAATAAATCTAAAAGATATCTAAAAGAAATTAAACAAACAACAACAACAAAAAAGAAACAGTTTTTCACAAACCATTCAGTATTTCTCATTGACTTAATTCAGTTCTCAATTTGCGATAAGCTAAAAATACATACAACTCAAAATATCTATATTAAAAATTACAAAGTAAATCTTAAACACTTATTTCCTCTAATAAATTCCAGAATGGATTAAGCATGATTTAATTCACAGTAATAAAAGAAGGCGTTATCCTTTTTTGTTACACAGCTTAGTTTCTGTAGATTGGCAACAAATCCACTATTCTGCTAAGTTTAAAATATGTGGTTGCTATGGTAAAATAATTACGCTTAGCTGCACTTAAACAACTTTTAAATTGTTCATAATTCTACTAATCTTGCATGCAGATTTACTAAAGGCATAAAAACCTTAACCGGAAGATAAGAACAACATAATTCAATAATTTTTAAAGCAAAAAAATGCAAAATTTACCAACATAGAAGAATAAAGAAATTGAGATCAGTGAGTGGAGTAACAGAGTGGATATATATATATATAAATATATTTATACACGTTTGGTGCGCCGATTGCAAGCAAAACACGAGGTGCACATTTGCATGTTATAGCAGTCCTATATTCAAAATTTCAACGTTCTGAGGCTACACGTTTTTGAGTTATGCGAGATACATACATACATACGTACAGACGCCACGGGAAAATAAAAATTCTGATCAGTACACCACATGACTTCCTTGTACGGAATATTAAATTATACGCATTTTTTCTTGTATTTCGTTTAAACTTATTGCATTGAATTAAACCTACTTCGTCGACATCGCATAAACCACAAAAGAATAAATGCATTCTTTAAAATTCACTCTATTTGTTTACCATAGCGATACTCTGGCGCTAGGTTCACTTAACAGTATTATATTTCGTTCATATTATAACTCAGAATGCACAAAATATATATCATTTAAAGAATTATCTAATCGTTGCCACATATTCTATTCAAATACTATAATAAAGCTAGAACGATGTATAAAAGAAATTAAGGAAACAAAACAAAAAAGGAAACAGTTTTTCACAAACGATTCAGTATTTCTCATTCAATTAATTCAGTTCTCAATTCACAACAAGGCAAAAATACATAAAACCCCAAAATATCTCTATTAAAAATTACGAAGTAAATCTTAAGTACTTATTTCCTCGAAAAAATTCCAGAAAGGATTAAGCATGATTTAATGCGGAATTATAAATGAAGGCGTTATCTTTGTTGTTGCGAAGCTACGTTTCTCTAGATTGGCAACAAATCCACTACACTGCTGGTTCAGATGTAAACAAGCAATGGCCGCCATCAAAAAAATTATTAGGCTTAGCGGCACTTAAACAACTTTAAAATTGCTGATAATTCTAAAAATGTTACATAGAGATTTACTAAATGCATAAAAACCTTAACCGGAAGATAAGAACAACATAATTCAATAATTTTTAAAGCAAAAAATGTACAATTTACAAACACATAAGAGTAAAGAAACTGAGATCACTGAGCCGGGTAACAAAGTGGATATATATATAAATATATTTATATACGTTTGACGCGGCCGATTGCAACCAAAATACGATGTGCATATCTACATGTTATAGCAGTCCTATATACAAAATTTCAACGTTCTGAGGTTACTCGTTTTTGAGTTATGCGAGATAAGTACGTACATACGTTCGTACAAACGCTACGAAAAATTCTCTTCAGAATTCATTTTAAAGCAGTTTTATAATTTTTTGGAGGAGAAGAGTCTTTTATTCTGTCCTTACGTACAGATATCACGCAAATACAGCGTTAAATTGCATTCGAAAGCGGTCAAAATGAATATTTTCGTTGAAATATGCTGTCTGAAACTTTTCGCGATTACAATGCTTCCTTTTTTCTTCTTACAAGAAAAAACTCTTCAGAAACCATTTTAAATCAATTTTATAATTCTTTGGGGGGGGGAAAGTGTCCTACATACAGATGTCATGCAAAAACATCGTTAAAGTTCATTCGATAGCGGTCGAAATGGATACGTTTCGTTGAAATATGATACCCGAAATGTTTCGCGATTACAATACTTCCTTTTTACTTCGTACAAGCAGGGATGTCAACGCCAAGCAGGGTTGTCAAATGCGCGCGTAGACGGTTTGTTGTAAAAGAGTATATTATTACGGCAACACGGCCGACTTTTTGCAGACTACCACTTATGAATGAGCAAATTAAAATAGTTAAGATAACGTGGATATTCATAACCCCGTTCCACAGATACTCACTAGGCAAGAGTTTACTATGCGGCTACGATTCCTGGGTGTTGTAGCTGCCTAGATGCTTTTAGACTTTGCCAGTCTCGTGGCGCCATCTGCAATTGGTGTTGTGAACTAGTTGCCCCTGGTTTACTCGGATAGATAGTAATTGCGGTGTTTGCCTATAGAGGGTGAACGTCATTGTTCTTGGATAATGATGTTCTGTCGAATATGGACTCAGGAACATCAGTATGGTAGCTTGATCTCTAAAACGGTAGGATCAAAAGCAGCTATCTACTGTCTGTCTACGAGAAGCCCGCCACAGTGTCTGGAGGGTGGCGGTCGCTATAGCAACAGGGCTAGTATATTTCAAATAGGAACGAAACAAATGGTGCTTTATTGTTATTTTGGTTTTGGCTACTGTTTGTTGAGGGGAAAAGAGTTTATCACTCGTCTTGAAGACACCCCTAGGGAAAATCTCGCTCGTTTCTACGGCAACAGACAACTGCAGACTAACTGGCAAGAGCTTTTCTTATGATAGACAGACTGTATGAAGCGAGCTATTTTAGCGATATCTTTCCTGCTCGGCGAGTGCAACGCTCTAACTACTTAGTTATTTTTTTGTTTGTTTGTTTTACATTCTTAACTAATGAGGAACTATTTCTTAAACTACCGTAAACTGCTTCGTAAAAATTTATTTCGGATGTTGATGTTGAACAGAAATAGGTATGGAGATTTCTTTTAATTCTTATGATCTACATATTTTTTTTTTAATTTTAAAAATGTTTTCAGCTCTTTGAGAAACTCTACAAAGTATTAGATTGTAATATGCAGTTTTTAATTGTAATATTTTTAGTAAATTTTTAAGCCATTCACAAATCAACTCAAATTATTTACGCCTGGAATTCTGGAAATTTAGGCAATGTTTAGATAATATTGTCTATTAATAAATTATTGAATTTGATAATATTTCATTGTTAATGTTACTTCCTGTCCGATTATATCTTATGTATGATCACGGATGAATATCACGGATCATGTCTTGAAATATCTTTACAGGTGTCCTCTTTAGCAACGGGGAAGCATGGAGGACTCTTCGAAAATTCTTTCTTAATGCCTTCAAAGACATTGGTTTGAAAACCATGAAAGAGAATGTGACAGGACCAGTGTACGATACCATCGATTCCACCATCAGAGATCTGCATAGGCTGAAGGGAAAACCTGTGGATATAGTTGAGATGGTGAATGCCCAATTCCTGAACACAGCGCGTTGCACATTCTTCGGGGAAGATGGCATCTCCATAGAGCAGTATCGTAAATATCTTGAACATTACGCGATTGCGGCTGAAAGTTTACTTAAAACTAACGCTCTTCTTTATGGAACTATACCAAAGTAAGTAAAGTATTAGTTTCTCGCTAGTAAATTTTGGTTTAAAATCGCCTTCTTAGCAAATGGCTTTAAAGGTTTATACTATGTTTATACGTATATGTTACCGTGAAAGACCGAAATTGGAGAATGTCGACTTTCACCGGAGAATGTCAACATTCACCAAATAAGTCGGTGAAAGATCGAATATTTTCTTTACATTCTTGTACATTCGGACCCTCACCGGTGTATGTCGACAATCACAGATATGCTCTGGTGTAGGTCGAAAAGAGAGGAGTGTATGTACACGCTGCCATTCCAAAAGGAAGTGTTCCACAAATAAATGCAGTTGTAAAAGCAACGGCCTCTTCTGCAATTCAAAGTGTCATAATAGTTTAAATTTTTGCGGTAAATAAGATTTGAATCACATAATTTGGTAAGTTTATAACTTCTATTATTTTCCTTTCTTATTTTGAATGTACTGTGTGTTTTAAGTTCTTATATTCTTAAGTTCTTATTCTGAGTCTCAAGTGCGTTTTTTCGCGAATGAATTACGGAGAAGGAAATATAATATTCTTATAGGTTCAACATTCACCATTAGTACATGGTGAATGTCGACATTCACCGGTGTAAGTCAGAAATAAGAGTATTTGGAAAATATTTCGGACATACACCAAGCGACTGTGTGAATGTTGACATTCACCGGTGAAAGTCGACATTCTCCAGATTTCGGTGTTTCACCGTAACATATACATAAAAATCATTATGTGGAGTTAATTTTTGCAATCGTCGGTTGGTATGTATTTTAAGAAGTGAAAAGAGATCTGGAGCATCCTAAGCAGGAAGAGATAAGAAATAATTGACTCTTGAATGCTTCGAAGTAATGAATATAGAGCTTCATAACAATGATTCAGGGATGTCATTTTGTTATCAAAACTCGAGAAATCACATATTTATTATATGTACATTTTTTTGCTTTTCGACAAAAAAGCAAGAATAAAACTTAAAAATCTGAAAGCTTTCAGATTTTAAATTACGTCGAAAGAGGCGTTTTTTAACGTTTTGTGTGTTACCCTTATGTATTAAATATCATATTCTACGTACTCAAACTATAAAATTCAGTTCAGAAGTCAAACAACAAAAATCAGCGTTATATTTACCAAATTTTCACAGGACTAGTTTCGATGGTTTTACCGAACCACCATCTTCAGCTGCAAAACCGCAAATGAACCAGATAGGAAATAATGATTAGATAAGATAAAAAAGCCTGGACAAGAATAAGCAAGTGGCGCCATCTGTTGGTAAAACCAGAACTAAAACATAATTTTTTTAAAGCCGAAGGCAAATTTGGATTGGAATTAGGATCGTTAACTAGAACAGAAAGATTTTTATGAATGTGAAATGCCTCTAGAAAATCCAGTTCTCCAATGGAAGATGTTTTTTGAATAATTTTGGCAGCAGAAAAATTGAAAGTGTGATTTTCGGACCAACAATGTTGAGCAACAGAAGACTTCTGTGTTTCCTTTTTTCTAACATATGCCTCATGTTCCTTGACGCGAAATTTTAAGGCTCTCTTAGTTTGGCCAATGTAAATTAAACCACACTGGCAAGGAATCCTATAAATACCCCAGGAATTCATATCCGGAATGGGGTCCTTGAGTATGGAACTCGGAATTTTATTGATGGGAGAATAAACAACCCGAAAATTAAATTTCTGCAAAATATGTGCAACTTTATAGCTAATTGATGGAAAGAAGGGAATGACAACAGAATTTTTATAATCTCCTAAAACAAGAGTGTGCCTTTTAGTGTGTTGAGATGAGAATTTTTTAACTGCTTGATTAATAATGTTGGGTGAAAAGCCCCTGTCAATAGCTATTGCTTTTAAATAATTTAGTTCTTCATCAAGGGCTAGTTTGGAGGAGCAAACTTGAAGAGCACGGAAAACATAGGAATAAAATGAAGCTAACTTTTGTTTAGTCGGATGACATGATTTAAAGTGTGGTGGAAGGCAAACCGATGAAGGTTTACGGTAAACCGTAGTACTGAAGTTGGATGTGTTACGTGTGACCAGAATGTCGAGAAACGGAAGAGAATTGCAAGTCTCAAGTTCAAAAGTGAACTGAATAGCAGGATCAATAGAATTCATTGTTGAAAGAACTTTATTTAAATCATCTTTATTACCTTCAAACAGAGTAAAAGTATCGTCTACGTAGCGGAACCATGCCGGGAAGTTTAAAGTTTCAAACAATTTTGATTCATAATAATGCATGTAGATATCAGCCAGGATGGGACTGAGGGGGCTTTCCCATGGCTAATCCCTCAGTTTGCTTGTAATATTTATTTTGGAAAACAAAATGTGTTTGTTTCAAACAGAGTTGAGTGAGAGAAATTAGCTCATCAATTTCGATGCAAGAGAAATGAAATTCGCGAAATCTGGTTTCTAGACATCTTAATGCACCCTCCACTGGGACATTGGTGAATAATGATTTTACATCAAAGAAACCATGAGTAAATTACTAGGAGAAATGTTTTTAACCTTTTTTACAAACTCTATTGAATTTTTTTATGGTGTAAATGTTATTGTCTAATAGAGTTGGAAAATCTAGAAACTAAATATTTAGCTAATGGATACCAGGCAGTACCTAAATTTGATACAATAGGGCGGAAAGGAATACCACTTTTATGAATTTTGGGAAGAGCATATAATCTGGCACAATTCGCAACAGATGGGATAAGCGAATGTTTTAAGTTGCCTTGAAATGATTTGCGAAGATTTGATCGCAGTTTTTATTTTTTGACAAGTCCGAAGGTGAAGGATCTTTAGGGATCGGATTATATGGTCCTTCGTTTAAGAGTTTAGTGACACCATCGATGTAAGTGTTCCTATCCATGACGACTATCTGGCCACCTCCGTGTGGCCACCACTGTTTTCCGTGCTCTTCAAGTTTGCACCTCCAAACTAGCCCTTGATGAAGAACTAAATTATTTAAAAGCAATAGCTATTTACAGGGGCTTTCCACCCAACATTATTAATCAAGCAGTTAAAAAATTCTCATCTCAACACACTAAAAGGCACACTCTTGTTTTAGGAGATTATAAAAATTCTGTTGTCATTCCCTTCTTTCCATCAATTAGCTATAAAGTTGCACATATTTTGCAGAAATTTAACTTTCGGGTTGTTTATTCTCCCATCAATAAAATTCCGAGTTCCATACTCAAGGACCCCATTCCGGATATGAATTCCTGGGGTATTTATAGGATTCCTTGCCAGTGTGGTTTAATTTACATTGGCCAAACTAAGAGAGCCTTAAAATTTCGCGTCAAGGAACATGAGGCATATGTTAGAAAAAAGGAAACACAGAAGTCTTCTGTTGCTCCACATTGTTGGTCCGAAAACCACACTTTCAGTTTTTCTGCTGCCAAAATTATTCAAAAAATATCTTCCATTGGAGAACTGGATTTTCTAGAGGCATTTCACATTCATAAAAATCTTTCTGTTCTAGTTAACGATCCTAATTCCAATCCAAATTTGCCTTCGGCCTTTAAAGAAATTATGTTTTAGTTCTGGTTTTACCAACAGATGGCGCCACTTGCTTATTCTTGTCCAGGCTTTCTTATCTTATCTAATCATTATTTCCTATCTGGTTCATTTGCGGTTTTGCAGCTGAAGATGGTGGTTCGGTAAAACCATCGAAACTAGTCCTGTGAAAATTTGGTAAAATATAACGCGTTGATTTTTGTTGTTTGACTTCTGAAATTAATATTTGTTCAGTCGTGTTATTGTATCTTAAATATACTCTTCTTAATTATAAAATTCAGTTCAACAGCAGTATTGCAAAATAATTTTCAACTGAGCATATCTTCAGAATTTCTGATGCAGAATCTCCCGTGCAGGAGATAAAAATGAATTTTTTTTTTTCGTACAGTGTTGCCATGGCTCGCTTTGAAATAGTTTAGTTTGTTAATCATAAATTCGTTCAACGAATTTTTGATATATAGTATAGTGCATAGTGAATAATATAGTGTATTGTATATATAGTATAGTGTATAGTATATAGTATAGTGTATAGTATAGTATGATAGTGTTACAAAATATGAAGTCGATAATAAAACAAATTTCAAATTGAAAGTAGGGCTTCCACATGCCCATATTCTATGGAAGATTACGTTATTCAAATTTTGATGACACTAGGTACAGTTGTTTTATCACATTGTGAGAAATATGCATTGTAATGTCCCCCTCCTTTGAAGAACACTTGGTCACCCGCCCTAAAAAAAGGGACCGAGAACCCTCTTCTCCGGCCGGAAGAGGGAAGCGGACTTTACCCCTGGTCGCAGATATCAGAAGAATTAAGAATAACAGAATGGAATCAGAAGAGAATCTGGAATCAGAAGAGATTAAGATGTGCAAGAGAAAAGAACGGACGCTCGATTGCGCGCTGTACTTTAGTGAAAATGTATTTCAAAGTTTTTCTAAAATGTAATCTGTACATAGGTGTATATATAAGTAAATATTTAGTCTAGATTTGAACAGGACTTGTTTATTTGACGAAGTTACGACTATGGTACAACATACATTCATGCAGATTCTTCACTATTTAATTTCTTTAAATATAATACAGGGCGATAATATCGGGTGGTAACAATCTGAAAAGTGAAACAACGCTTATCATGAATCGGCGTAAAATGCTAAAACGAAATTAATAGGCCTTCTGGACAAATTACCCCTTTGGACTGATTGTACGATCAGCCAAGAAAACGTTTTCTCATTCGCAGTTTGCATCAAAAATCGTAATAATCCCCTAATTGCTTTCAGTTTATGAATCGTATCAGAACAACTCTTTACCTAGCCCACAAATTTGCAACTGTTGATAGTCGTCAAATATAGTTGTATCTCGGTATACGTCATCAGTTTTTTTCTTATTGTTTGGTCTAATACCAGACTAGATGTATACGAAGCGAACTTTTCCATCAAGAAATAAAGGGAAAATAATTAATTAATCCTTCTTATAAGTATACCCGACTGTTGTTATTATAATATTGCTTAAGAGGACTCATACACCTTAAAACCCATAATCTTCGAATATGTGACTGGTTCAAGAATTGGGATAACTAATTTATTTTAAAAGCAATTACTTCCAACTTTTTACAGCTGACTACATAATATAGCTGCTTTCTGAAATAGTTATCAGAAAGTTTGTGTTGCCACAAATATTTTTATAATTTAATCCGCTTTGTGACAAAATTTTTCGTCATGTTTCCACCTTGCGCGCGCAGTTTAAAACATTCTGTTGCATAATTTTATTCCATATTTAATATGTAGCTTTTATATAACATTTGAAAACTACTGTTAACCAAAAATTCTAAGAATTTCATCTTAAATTTTTATTTTATTTGGAGTTGAGTTTATAAAATGTATTTTGTTAAAAAAAATCTGCAATGTTTTCGTGCATAAAATTTTTTAATATTAAAATGTTCATCATATTTTTGGTTCAGTTAGAAGATAGTGCCTATATAAAGAATACCGTCTAATTTCAAGTATGTACCGTTAGCCATTTTTAAAATATCATGCGCGCATGGTGGAAATATGACGAAACATTTTGTCACAAAGCGGATTAAAATAATGGTGTGGTGTATTTAATTATGGCAAAGCACACTAGAGCTATCTGCCTAAGGGAGGGATGCCTTCGTGGAGGACTTTCTAAAGGAAACTGGCTCGTATACACGTTACACATGGGGAAAACCACGAAAACACCCATGCAGCCAGCCCGTTCGCGGATTCGAACCTCGGACCGAACTACCAGTGTTCAGCGACTGGTGGGTGAAAACATGGCAAAAACGTTTCTTACAAAGCGGATTAAATTACAAAAATATTTGTGGCAACACAAACTTTCTGGTTACTAGTTCCCAAAGCAGCTATATTATGTAGTCAGCTGTAAAAAGTTGGAAGTAATTGCTTTTAAAATAAATAAAATATCCCAATTCTTGCACCAGTCACATATTCGAAGATCATAAAGGGTTTAAGGTGTATAAGCCCCCTTAATATTAAGATACAAATGCGGTGGGGATAATATACAGAAGGTTTCAAAATTATCGTTCAGAAATGTGCATGGAGGTCCGGAACACAATAATATGCAAACATCATATAGGAACGCACGCGAATTTCCGACGTGTAAGAGGGCGGTGAATGTCGATGAAGTATGGCCGTTATGAAGCAATTGTTGACTGTTGACTGGAGAGGAAAACATCATTATTCTGCCAAGAGGTTGGGTGGTATTATCGCGAGTTCTCGCAACTCTAATATTAGGAGATGCACTATATTGTAAGGTACTGTGGTTCAGAACATAACTGCATAATTTACGTAATGATTACATTATTTCGGATACTCGTATTACTTTATCGCAGAACATGCACTTAGAACAAACAGTACACATTACAAACACATTTTTAAAAAGCAATTCTTTACTGAACAAACTTTACTGAATTTTACAGACGTATTTTGTTGGGACTTCGAAATACAGTTGCAGTGCACAGGATTAAACTCGTAAAAAACAAATTGAGTGAATATTAAATTATTACTCTAGACACTATTTTTATTGGTAAAAAATTAGATAAATAAAATTTAAAATAAATAAAATTTTAAAAGGAAAATTATATAACGAGGCATAGGTCAGGTCCGAGTTTTGCAAGCTTATAGATAATTTGGTGGGTTATAGCCACCAGATGACTTTGTTTCACCATAAATCTGAAGAAAGTTTGGTTATTATTACTAAGGATTTTAAAGTAGTGTTCTCTAGTAAGTGGGCAAATGGCAAGGTAATGGTTTGAGATAGAAATTTTTCAAAGGAACAGAGGTCGGTGTTGCTGATGCCGTGTCTAGGATGAAGCTACAAAAGGCGTTATGTTTGTTGTATGAATGAGTGTGCGGAAGTACGAATCGCTACTCGAATGCGAGGCAATGAATTGGTCCCGTTGGATCCATTCCATATTCCATTCCAGGCCATCTCGTGCCCCCAGCTGTTTTCTTTTCTTGGGGTTACATGAAACGCTTCGCGTATGAAACCCTTGATGCCTTCATCTCTTCGCGAAGGACACAGCTGACCCTAGTCTTTGATGACACTAAGGCCAGCTAGAGAGATGATATTATAATTACAAAGAACCGTCTCTTAAGTTACAACCCATGGTTCTAAATAATTTAGATCTTTCGTGGAAGTGGTCGTTGTAGAGAATTGTCAATACCGATATTTATATATGTTCTCACAAATACTGGTCACTTTTAGAGATGATCTCTATGACAGGGTTCACTGTACTTTCATTAGTATTACTACAATTTTATATTTAGTGTACAGTCGCTTTTCGACTGTCTTATATATACTAAAATTGGATCAGACTTTCCAATGTTTTAATTTTCTTATGTCTAATAAGTTTCTATTTCAGTTTGCTCTTTGCCTCCAAACAAATATATTTCTACCTTTTCAGGTATTTCATCTTTCCCTTCAATTCTGATTATCATGCATCCGTTGCCAGCCAGAAGCAGATGGAAGCTATCTTACTCCAAGTCATAGACCAGCACGAGAAGACTTTGGATGAAAATCACAACCGGAACATAATCGATGCTTATTTGAAAGAACGAAATGAGCGACGGCGGAAGGGCGATCCCACTGCTGAGCACTTCACAAGTATTATAGCACTTATATTTGGTTTTTTGCAGAAGTCAACTTTCTGTTCATTTCTATCTTATATGTCTTATCTCATCCCGATATTACCTTATGAAAATTTTACTACAAGAGGTAAAGTTTAGAAGTAGGACGTAATCTTAACCAGGAGCTTAGTTGCAAGCTATCCCAAATAGTGCCTTCAGTTGCAGAAACCACTTGCATATTAGGGAACAGGGCCGTTCCTTGGCCACTGGCTACCCGTGTACTTTCCTAAAATTGCCGACTCCCAAATTTAAAAAAAAGTGCTCAGCGATTAACACATACCCACTGAGTACTTACATATGATAAATTGTATAAAAAGTGCTTACATCTGTCAAGTACTTACAGAGAAGTTAATGAATTTAAAATATTACACGTGGTGTCTTCAGAGTCCGGCCGTCCTTGATTTTGGTCGCCCGCATACTTTTACGCGCTGCACCCTCGTCTAGGAACGACCCTGACTAGGAATGTAGACCTACTGAGAGTTTGGCATAGTTAGATAAATGCTAGAAAGGGAGCTACAGGGTGCGGCAGCGTTCATAGTAGGATATTAAAAACACACCACAAGGCAGTAATAGTAATTTATTTATTATCTTCTGTCAATTAATAGTTAAAGGTATGCCATTTACTAATGTGTAAGTCGTTGTCCATTGCGTGGATTACTTTTTGAATATGATGCCCCCTCTGCACAACACATTCATCTAGGCGGCGTTGGAAGCTTGCCATAACTCGGAACGTATTCCCTGGAACATTGCCGACGGCAGTTCGGATGCGATCCTTCAACTGAGGAATGGTGGCAGAAACGTGTTCGGAAAACTTCCTGCTTCAGGTGGCCCCAAAGGAAAAAGTCTGCACATGAAAGATCAGGTGAGCGAGGCGGCCAGGAAATGTCACCAAAACGGGAAATTACTCTACCTGGAAATGTCTGTCGCAATGGTTCGTCCATCTGGAACTTTCCCATGACGTCCCAAGTTGAAATGTTGCCGAAATAGACGCTGGGCAGCAATAACAGAGTAGTTATTCTTGAAATAACTTTAAGCAGCAATGGCACGATGCTGTGCACTCCACCGATCCATATCACTGTCACACTCGAAATGGCAGCTCATTAGTACACGAATGCGGCACGAGCTGGCGCGTATTCATGGAGTACGTTATTGTACTGCGTAAGTCAAATTACGCTATGAAGTGCGACTCTGTATTATTTCCACTCTTCGATCTCAAAGTGGTTATGGATCTTAGCAAGGTTACTATGCTACTACAAGGTTTACCCTTCTTCCCCAAGGATAACCATTGTGGTGAAGGTCGACGTCCTTAACTCTAAAGTCTCAGCAGCTAGATAATGGACTTGGTGTTGGAAAGAGAGTGTTTAGACCTTGAAGAGCAAAACCTTGTCTCTGTGCTAACTTGAATCTGAGTAAGCTCTGAATGTTTCAGTTACATCTGTAGCACGCCTGTGAATAGGTGCTCTCGAAGTCGAAGAGAGGTTCTATAATTTAATCTGTTCTTATTTGTGTTGCTCATGCTTACTTTTCTGACGTAGTCAGCTGAAGCCCACGAAATTCCTCGTGGCAAGGAGCGCTAGATTATTTCTGCCGTTGGCAACAGCCCTTGAGCACATTTCAGGTGACAGTGCGATTTAGCTGAGTTCTGCCCCAATTTTGATGGAGAGTACCCCGGGGGGGACGGGTCTTAGGGTCTCGCACCCCTATCCTCTTCCATCGAAGCACACGAAAGGTCTTTAGGCTTGTCGCATATTTAGAGTACCACCATGCCGCCCCAACAATATGCATTTACAAACATCTGTGCTTTCTCCTGGATTTGAACCCGGGCCCTTTGGCACGGCAGTCAACGATTGTGAACACTCTACCAGTTGAATGGAATTTTTAATTGTATTACCCACAAGTTATAACTAATAAAGTTTTGTACTAGTTTCTACTTAGCATCTTAGCACTTAAACGGTCTTGGAATTGATAACTCTCCAGTCGTTAGACTTCACTTCCTAGACTGAGCCCATAGGTTTGTGGACAAGAAGCGTCTAGTTAATTCACCGTCCTAGAAAGTTATAATATGTGTTCAAAATAATCTTTACTGAAGATAGTATTACAATAATCTTCCCCGAAGACAGTATTACAGAAGTGCGTTGTCAATTATAGTAAATATTTGTGCTTATTAGCCTAGAAGGGCTGTTAGTCTCGAAATACAATTTATTATATATTTATTTATTATTATATATTTAAGGGAAATTTTTCTTTGTACACCTATATTATGTCTTGCCGTATTATATTATTAAGTTTATTAAATTTAATGATTTTGTTTACTATTGCATACCTCTGGCTGTCAAAGTTTTACAGAAAAAAAACCTTTTTCAATTAAACACATCTTTTGTAATTTCTGTATTTGGAAGGGTTTTTCTCAGTGTGTTAATTATGTGTATTGTATGCATATAATAGTGTTACAGTAAAAAAAGTAGGCCATTAACGCTTAAAAGACAGTGCTCGAAAAATTGTTCAAAACTGCAGTATCTCAAAAAACGGCTGCTATCGAAATATCGGCCAGACCTGAATTTGATTTTATATTAAAACTCGATTTCTTGCAATATCACAAACACAAAATAGTTTTCTGGTTGCAATTTTCTAATTTCGACTACGCGTAATGTATGCTTTGCTCATGCGCGCGTTGAAAGAAATGTTAAACAAATAAATATTAAGCCTTTTTTTGTAAATTTTGATACCCAGTTTCATATTTTTGATTGTATAATTTCTGCATGCCATCTTACCAGATTTAAATTGATGATCTATAATCCGGAAAAACCTCTAATCCCGACGAGTGCGGATTACAGACTTTGTACTGTAGTACCTCTTATTTAGAAAATAGTGAAAAAATTAGAAAGTAAAAATTTAATAAAGTAAACAAATAAATATTAAGCTTTTTTAAAAAGAATTTGATTTCCTTTAGATCATAATTAATCTTTATTTCATGAATTACGGTTTCATATTTTTAATTGTATAATTTCTGCATGCCATCTTACCCGATTCAAATTGATGATCTATAATCCGGAATAGCCGAAGTCCCTACGAGTCCAGATTACAGACTTTGTACTGTAGTACCTCTTATTCAAAAAATAGTGAAGAAAGTAGAAAGTAAAAATTTTAACCAGTATTCCTGTAACTGCTTGCCAGCAATAAGCAACGCGTAGAAGAATCTAGAAAAAAATACTTTGGATAAATTAGATTGGTAATGTATTGTAGCAATTCCTTATTTTTACTTAAAATCGATCTCGATTTCTCGAGGGTTCTACGTTTATTGCAAAATTTTATCTTCTATAGTAATGTCTGTTTATGTTTTTTTTTTTTTTTTTCAACAGAAAAAGCTTTGGCTGGCTCACTTGCTCAGTTTGCCGGAGACGGTCACCATGCTGTCATGATATTTGTTGGAAGACTGTTTCTGACACTGGTACAGCATCCAGAAGTGCAGGAAAAGATATACCAAGAACTGTTGGATGTTGTTGGCCCTGATAGGAATCCAAGTTTAGAAGATAAAAGCAATTTACCTTATGCGAACGCATTCATGAGCGAACTTTCAAGAACAGCTCAAGTATTAACCTTCTTTCCAAGTCTTTTATGCACAAGTAAGTAAAACTGATCTTCTAGCCTGCAACCTTGCGGCAAACGCAGGGATAATTGGAACTATTCAATTATTCGAAACCACCATACCGTACTCGTTCCTGAATGGAAGATTCGCTGGCCTCGCCAACAAATATCTTTACTGAACAAAAACAATCATTACAAATTCTTCATGATACAATCATCTTGATTACAATAATAATTTCACAAACTTAAAAATTTACAATTAATCCACGCTTTGGATTATAACAAAGTAATATTCGATACAATAAACAAATAATTACAATAAAATATTTTATAATTATTATCACATAATAAGATTGATTAAATCAAACATTTTTAGTCCAAAGGGATTTGAGTTCGGAAGGACTATTGCTTTACGCCTAGTATGCTGACCATTACAACACGAAGGCAAGCTAAGAAGGCGGGAGAAATGCCTTATATACTGCCCCTTCGTAAAGGGCGACTAGGTTTTTAGGGGACCCAATCGCCAAATCCTGGCGGTGAAGAATCATCATTCACCACCTTTTAGTTCGGTCACCACTGTATTGACATTAGGTTATTTCGAAGCAGGAGAGACGATCGAACCCTGGTCTTCTCGAATATGCGTCCGGTAATCTTCCAATTACCTCGCAAAACGAGCGGAAAAGAAAGAGAATGTATCTTATATACTTCCCCCTTTTAAAGGACAAGTGGAGGTGAGGGGACCCAATCGCCCAACCCTGGTGGTGATTTTTAATACGGGCTCCACTTGTAGAGGGCTTTTTTTTTGGGGGGGGAGGTGGAGACGTGAAAAAGATGTGCAATGCTCTCGCCGGGACACGAGCCTTGGCTTCTCGAATACGCGTGATGTACGCTACCAATTATACCACGAATACTTGCGGAAAGGAGGGAGAAAGTAGCTTACGCTTTTGGCACTATGTATAGATATCGTCTATTACGTAAGTACTTTTACCAGGTACTTATCTGTTATCCCGTTGAGCTAACATTTTTTAGTTTCTGTTATATCTTGGCTTATTTGGTTACTTGAAGGCTATCTGACTAAGGGGAGGGATGCCTTCTTAGAGGACTTCCTAAGTAAAACTGGTTTGCACACATGTTACAAATGGAGAAAACTATGAAAACACACATGCAAGCAGTCTGTTAGCGAGATTCGAGCCTCGAACCGAACTACCAGTGTTCAGCGACTTGCCGCTTTGCCACTAATGGACCGGTTTCTGTAATGAAAATAAAACCAGTATTTACGCATCAGATATTGTATTCTGGTGAAACCATATGGCATTTTCCGATTTCTGTTATTTGTGTGGTCGCCGTCCAGGGTTGGGTTTCCTTCAAGGCCATTCCCATTGCCCCCCCCCACTCGTTTTTGATTCTCAGACATTAAGTATAGTTGTATGTTAATTTAAACATAAAAGTATTTGGGCTGTTAATAATTTCTTTTAGAATATTTAAATTTCTAATCTGAAAATGTTTTAAAATTTGTCAATTTTAAATGAAAAGTTCCTAAATCACAGATTTTATTTATGTATTTATTTATTTCAGAGGAAACAAGTTTAAGAGGTTATAGGATTCCCAAAGGATCCATAACTTTGCTCAATTTCTGGTCAGCTCACCATGATCCTGAAATCTTTGAAGATCCGTATAAGTTTGATCCATCGAGATATTTAGCCTCTTCAGGGAAACCTAGAGCAGAACTTCCAGTTACTTTTGGAATAGGTAAAGTTATTTCCATTTCTGTCAGTGTCCCTTAAGCTATTAGCTCTGTTATCTGTCTGTTATAAATCTACTTATGTTCTAATTTCAATCTCTTAAAAAGATCTGATATAAATACCAAATAACTTGCATATATGGCTTTTTAAATTATACACATTTTTTGCTGGCCTTCACTGAAACTTATATCCTGGAATTTCATCAAATATATATTTCTCAATTTCAGGCAATTCAGTTCTCGTTCTGCAACAAAGCAAAATTACATAAAAACTCAGAATATCTTCATTAAAAATTGTAAAATACAGATAGAAACTTTAAAAACCGAATATAGTTAAAAATAGTTAAATTTTTTTCAATTATGTTAGAATTTCTACACCAAAACCAGCAATCCGACCAACGAGCAGGAAGACAAAATGTCCAGTACACAAAAATTTAAAGTCAACTTCCGGCCCCACTGGGAAGAAAGATGATGAAGTTGGTGCACTAATTGGCTTCATTTACTATACCAGCAAGAGTTTTAAATGTAAGAAAATAACCACCATGTAAGGCTTAGCTGCGCCTACGCTTTTAAATTGCTGATAATTCTACAACTATTGTATGCATATTAACTAAAGGAATAAAAAGGTTAACCGGAACATAAGAATAACATATTTCAATCACTTTTAAAGTAAGAATAAGAAAAACAGACCTCACCGAGCCAGGTAAGGAGCAGAACAGACGTTATCACTCACATAAGAACTCGGCAACAAACGTTCCTTAAACATTTTTTGTCCCTCCCACGTCTCATAAACAGTTTCTCAAAAGTTTCACCGCCTGTAATAATTCAAAGTATCCCATCTGCCGATAACGGCATTTCAGAATTTCGAACACACACCCCTTCTGAGTAAGACACAGAAGGCAACACATCCCACTAGAAAGAACGTAAGTTAATTAATGCCTATTCTAGCCTTTTATATCTTCATGTACATTTCACATTCTACTTTCTTATTATATATATTTCAATTTTTCAATTTTATTTGATTTGTTTTTGCAAAGATAGTATTGTTATGTTTCTTAATTTTCTCATGTTTATTTCAATTACTTTGAGTTCCATTTCATAATTGCAATTAAGATAACTACTGTTTATTTTTATAAAAATAGTCTTGAATTAACATGCATAAAAGCAAAGGCGTCGGGGGACATTTACTCAAGTATTTGTAAATTTTACTACATAAATTGCTTTTCACTCAAAATTTATAAAGAGTCTTGTATTAGCGAAAATGCTTCGTTTAGAATGAGTTCTTTGGTACTCTACTTTGGTTATAAATTCCATCATTTCACGGAACTACAATTTTGGCCTAACTTAATTTGCCAGTTTGGCATCATCATTCTTACTTGAGTAAAAGACGAAACACCTTCGCATTTATTAATTATTGTTCATTGAACTGGAGTTGGTTTGTTCCCCTTGAAAAGTCAACTGATTTCCGATCAATAGCGATAATTACTTGTTTGAATTTTTAATCTCTTTTCCAAAGTTTGAAACTTTGTTATTCATTATTTAAATTCAAGTCCCGGTACAACGTTTTTTTTTCATAATTTACATTCAAGTTACTTTAAAAATACAATTTTCGGAATTAAATTTCCTATATCTGGGTTCCCTCTTTTTTGATACTTGTACTAAATTAATATTAGGAGATAATCAATATTTCTTTAGTAAATAAATTATTATTATCTTACTTTGCAGTTATTGCGCAAGTAATAGAAAAACTTGTTTTTGAACTAAGTGAATTTTAGATCATTCAACATATATATATGTGATGTACCAGCTTTTGTCCAGAATAAATAGATTGGTGAAGAGAATATAGATGTAGTCGTAGCTTAAATTATCAGACGATAAGTTTAAAAAGCAGGATCCATTTATTATTGTTCAGGAGAAATAGCAATTACAAAAATCTCATCTCCGGAGTAAATAAAAAAGAATTACTAATAACTTTTTGTATGAAGTTTACTGCATCGTTACATTAAAGAAAAGAACCCGATATTTCTTTGCGAGTCCTTTTATAGCCTCTGGAAAGGCGGAGCTTCAAAGAAATGACGTCAGCCTCGTCAGCCAATCCAGGTCGCTTTAAATATTTCCAGAACATTCTAAAACCAGACGTCTAGAAAAGGCGGGAAAAACAACTTGACTACGGGGCTGTGAATTTAATTCCACGTACTTTCAAATAAGAGAACGACGCCATTAAAAAACAGTAGAACATACAGTTAGAATTTTAAGTGTATTCTTGATTATGGAATTTTATTATTACATATATATATACTTGGCAGAGGCCAATTGCAATAAAAAATATGAGATGTATAATTAGATGTTATAGCATTCCCAAAAACAAAATTTCAATGTTTTACGGCTAATCGTTTTTAAGTTATGCGAAATATAATACATACATATGTACACATGTAACCAAAAAGTACTTTCTGAATCCATTTTAAGTATGTTTTACAATCAGTTTTACAAAATAGAATTCTTTATTTTACCCTTAGGTGCAGATGTCATGCAAAAAAAATCGTTTAAATCAATTCGAGAGCGATCAAAACAGATATTTTCGTTGAAATATGATACTCGAAATATGATATTATTGTATTGTTGTTATTATTATTGTATTGTTGTTATTATTATTGTATTTTTGTTATTATTATTTTATTATTATTATAATGATTTGTTTTCCTTATTTTATTATTATTTTTTAGAATATTTTAGTATTTTTATTGTTGTGGTATATGTATTCTTATATATATGCTGCAAATCTAGATATTATGTATTATTGTATTGCATTATTGTTGTATATTTTATCTCCGCGTTCTATTTTATATTATTGCTGAGTTATTTTCTTACCCCTATAAGTGTCGTGGCTTACCCTGTGAAATACAAGGAGTTTTGCAGTTAATTTGCTGTACTAAAAAATTAATTTATTGTCCAAAGTAAACTCGTTAAAAATACAGATAAATCCTTAAAAAATATCTTTTTATTGGTAAAGATTTAAATCAGGGTTTGTTAAATGAATCTTACATTGTTACTAATTTTGTGTTTTTTTTTCTTTATTTATGTTTTAGGTAAACGTTCGTGTATAGGAGAATCATACACTATGACTCTAGTTTTTCTTTATTTGATAACTATAGTAAAAAACTTTCGCTTGTCTTTCGCTAAAGGAGTAGAGTATTCAGTGTCTGGATACACGCTGAAGTTAGAAATAATCGCAACTCCAAGGTAATCAAAAAACTACACATTCCAATAAAACTGCGAATTCCAAGATTTTACTGTAATTTAAAACATTGATTTCTGTTTTGTCTGCAGAAATTCCTGCGCATTTATGTACTAATAAAATTCTGATTTTTCATGATTTTTTTATTGGAAATTTGCATTTAGTTCAACTTGATTTTTAATATTCATTATTACATGCAGGCTGTTCTAAATGAATGAATGGTGCGGTTCTAAAAATGAATAATAAATCGATGTATTACTTCATATGGGCAAACCTTACAGCAAAAGCAGCGACAGCTGTCCAAAGTTGTTGATGAATTAATTAAGACCTTCAATATATGCCCCTACGACACACATTTACATGGATACACATTGGAGGACTACGTTATTCCAGATTTAATGGCTCTAAATACCGTCTTAATTATTTAATTTCTTTAAAAATAATACAGGGCGATAATATTTGGTGGCAACAATTTGAAAAGTGATTTGCCGATTATACAGAACCGCAGCAAAATCCCATTTCGAGATCAAAAATCCCTTTTCGGCTAAAAACGAAACTTTAGAGAAAAGGCTTAAAAAAATGTGTTTTCGTAAATTCCTGTTGACGGGAAATTGTGAAATGTCGCCAGTCTGGCTCCAAAAATTGTCATAAAGCCTTATTAGGGACGACATTGTCTGTAATCATATTCTAATTTAGCTCTCTTTGTAATTTTAACATTTTTGCACTAAGAATTAAAAGATATACAGTTGTATGTAACAAATAAACGCTTAAATACGAGCAAGGCAGCCATAAATCAGATTAAGCACACACACACACACACACACACACAAACAAAAAAAAAAAAAAAAAAAACTTAAAATTCTATGAAAGATTTCAGATTTTAAATAGCGTCCAAAAGGGCGTTTTTTTTTAACATTTTGTCTGTTACCTTTATTTGTTAAATATCACGTTCTTCGCACTTAAAACATAAAATTCAATTCAACAGCAAGATCGCAAAATAGTTTTAAACTGAGCGTATCTTTAGAATTTCCGATACAGAGTCTCGCGCGCTGGAGATAAATATGTGAGTGTTTTCTGTGCAACGTTGCCATTGCTCGCTTTGAAATCCTTGAGTTTGTTCATCAAAAATTCGTTAAAGTTTTACAAAATATGAAATCGATAATAAAACAAATTCCAAATTTCAAATTTGATCTTGCACATGCCCATATCCGCAGGAGGATTACGTCATTCAAAATTCGATGGCTCTATGTACCGTTGTTTCATCACAATGCGAGAAGTATACGTACATTTATGCAGATTTTCCATTATTTAATTTCTTCAAATATAATGCAGGACTCTAACACTGGGTGGCAACAGTTTGAAAAGTGTAACGGTCATTTATAGTGAACCAACGCAAAATGGCAAAATGAAAGTAATAGTCCTTCAGGGACAATTAAAAATGAAAATTCAAATATTTATAGCAGCATATTATCCAGAATGATTTAATTATGTTCGAAGCGAAAGCTAAATAAGGAAACAATAAGCTCAAACAAACGGAAGAACATTTCAGAAAAACTTCTTTTATAAGGAGTATAATTCCGAAGGTCATTCTCATGACAGCGATTTCTTTTCTTTTTATAAGCATTTTGCACAGCCAGCGCTAACAAAAAAAGGATAGACGTAGATGGAATTGAGATTAGCAGTGAGCGCTGTCGTTGGGAAGGAAAACCCTTGGCGTAGTGAGCAGCGCCGCTTTTTTTTTTTTTTTTTCTTTTCTTTAATTCCTGCTCGTGTTTGTAACACTCTTCAAATCGTTTCGACTCGTGTGTGGGAGGGAGTCCTATGATAACAGCTCTTAGAAACCGGTTGATGTTTCAAACGTCGTAGATAGCGAAGTATGTAACGAGCGAGTTACGGCTTATATTTCCGCAAATGTATGGTATTGGAGGTTAGCAAGTTCATAACGGCTTTGATTATTGGTAAAATATTTGGTAATATCTGATATTTATATTATATTCAGCCCATCATTCTATTTATACTAAATTTAAGTATCATTTAGTAAATATGAATTCTTCAGCTAAAGTGCAGAATCACCCACTTATTTGTTTGTCGCTTTTTGCAAGAGTAAGAAGAATTCGATTTTTGTCAATTTTCTTTGACGTTTTAAGTGAAAATAGGTCGATGTGTACATGGATAAAGTCAAGGAAGTGCGCAATGCCATTTTTGTGCATTTGTTTTTTTTTTTTTTAAGGGAAAATACGTCGATGTGTGCATGGATACCGAGTACATGAATTCTTAAAAACGCGCCAAGCAGTGGGCGATTCTGCACTTTCTCCAATTTCTTCTATATATTAGTAATATATATTCTTATAGTAATATGTATTCTTATAGTAATATGTCTTATAGTATTATAGTAATATGTATTCTTAAGTAAATATGTATTCTTAAGTAAATATGTATTCTTCTTTGTAAAATCCTAGTATACAGTGCAGCCTTGGCGAGATTTTGAAAATTATCGCCAACACCAAAAAATGACCCAAAGAACGTCTATGTATATACTATACACTATATACTATCACTATATACATAGTATATACTATGTATAACTATATATATTCTTTGAATGACCCGTTTACTACTCATCGTATATGTCCCGTTTTTTACTGCTCATCATAGAAGTCGCCAAAAGTAGCGAAATCCCGTGCGCACCGGATACTAGAATTAGACCCTTCTTCTATATATTAGTAGAGTAAATACGAATTCTTCAGTACATAAATTAAGTGAATACAAATTCTATTAAAAGTACCTGCAGGCTATTAATGGTGGAACGATGAAATATTCTCTACGCGATAAGCAGATAAGTGTTGGCAACTTTTATATTCTTCTATAGCTGAGAGGCTTAATGAGCTACTGTTAGCACAGTTCATGCATATTCAAATAGTATATCATGGTTTATTTAAATATGATCCATAATCGTTACCCTTTTTATGCGTTTAAGGTTTCATGGGCAGAAATTGCGTTTTTTGCGTCAGCTGTGTTATTTTTTTAGATTTAATTACCGTATGAAAAATATTTAGGGTATGGAAGAGGTGAGTGATTACATTGCTTCTGTTTTTTTTAGCCCAAAGGGATATTAGTCTCCAAATGCCACTTTGCTTCGTATCACTGTAAACGGCTGTAAAATTTTTCAAATTGTTGCCACCAAATATAATATTGCATTTCGAATTTTATTATCTGTTTAATATTTTTCAAATATTAACGAATTTTTGATTAAAATGCTCAACGGTTTCATATTTGTATGTGAACAGTTATAAACCACATTAATTATTCCAAAGGAGCAATTTGCCCAGAAGGTCTATAAATTTCGTTTTGGCATTTTGCGTTGATTCACTATAAACGGCGAATCACTTTTTAAATTGTTGCCACCAAATATTATCGCCCCTCATTATATTTAAAGAAATTAAATAATGAAGAATCTGTGTAAATGTGTACGTGTCTCGCACTGTGATAACACAATGGTACCTAGAGCTATCGAATTTTGACTAACGTACGTCTCCACCCGAATGTCGGCATGTGGAAGCCCACATTTGGAATTTGTTTTATTATCTGTTTCATATTTTGTAAAGCATTTATGAGTTTTTGAATAAGAAACGCAACGATAAGCTAGGAATGGCTACCACTCTAAGGAAAAACATTTTTATTTCCAGCGCGCGAGACTGTGTATCGGAAATTTTAAAGATATGCTGTTTTAAATATTTTTTTTATATTGCTTTTGAATTGAATTTTATGGTTTAAGTGCGAAGAACATGATATTTAATAAATAATTAATAAAGATAAAAAACAAAACGTTAAGAAAAAACCCTTTGGAAGTATTATAAAATATGAAGGCTTTCATTTTTTTAAAAATTTTCTTATTATATTTTTAGCTACAACATGTCAGTAAATTATAGATGCTCATTGAATGGCCTGGTTCTTTGTTTTTTGGAGTTATTAATTTTCAAATGCTAGCTAAAAGTGTTCACATATAAATGTGTTTATTCTCAAAACAAAGCGATTGTTCTTAAATTATCCGTAACCTGAAGGTATCTTTTAACAAGTACGAAAAAAAATAACCAAAACTGTATTTTCAAACTTTTGTATAAGATTTATAAGACAGTTCTCAAGTTCTTGGAAACACTTTTCTTTTTTTCCAGGGACAGATTGTCGGTTCTAGCAAATTATTTTGTTAGCACATTGCTTATTGAGAGCCACCTTATCGAGGGCGTTTTTATAAGCTTTTATTTAGTTTACTCATGGTGTTTTACAGTGAGAGGAATGTTCTTATCTATTTTTAACCTGCTTCTTGATAAGCTATCGAGTCCAAATTTTGTACTCACACTGCTGGTCTATGACGATGCAATGTGGTGAAGAGAATTTTTCAAAATTCGAGTTAGATTTCTTTTATTTAATGTTTAATTAATTTGTTAAAGGATAAATATAGCTAACTGAGGTTGAAATTCAGTCTCTATATATTCGTCTCAGTGCTGAGCAATTCGTGAAATCGCTTTGCAAATTGCTAATGACGTCATCGGAAATAACAGAAATTCCCCTTTCCTTAGTGTGTCTAGATACAGGTATTTATTCAATTAATTTGAGGATTATTTTTTAATTTTTTTGCAGAAATTACTTCCGCGATATTTCTTTTTTATGAACCCCTCTTCAGTGTAAAAAACGTTTTGCACGAGCAGTTTTGAGGGCCATAGTAGTAAATCCGTCCTTCATTGTTACTTCGTGCCTCTTTAACAAACATTGACATAATCTTAATTGCGTTGTTTAATTTTGCTTTTAAAATATTTTAGTTCGTATTAACTCGCAACCAGAAGAAGATGGTAGGTTGAAGGAAGGCCACTGGCCTTGAACTGCGGGAGTATTACTTGATGCAAAGACTCATTGGTTAACGTTTTTCTCCACATAAACAAGTTCCTCTTCCTTCTCCGCTTTAAATCTCTTGTTAAACTTTTTTTTTTTAATTAAAAAAGCAAATACAAAATTCCTGGAGTTCCACAAGTATTCCACGAGGTTTACAGATGTAAGTAAATAACTCATAGTACAAGGAGATACAATTCAACAATAAAAACATAATATCTAGGTCTGTAGATAGCAAAGAAAAAACATAAAGTACAAATACTATATAAAGAAAAATACTAAAATATACCATGAATAATTAAATTATGTTTATACTCCTATAAAAGAAAATAAGCCAACATAATAATAGAATAATAATAAAAATGAAATAATACTTAAAAATAATATTGATACAAAGTGAAAATGATACATCAACTGCACAATACATCAGTAGGTAACGCAATCATACTGTTACGTTTTTCTCTTCACGTATGTTCGTAAGTACGGTTTCGTGTGGATTGAAAATATTACATTGTTATATTGAAACAATGTATACTATTCGGTTTCGAGGGCTGTAAAAAATCGCCAAACTATTGTTGATGCCAATGCTGCCAAAAATAATTGCGGCAAGAAAGGAAGTATAATAGTAAATAACTATTTAAGATTGATGTTTTAATTTAGATGAAAGGTTAATTTCATATAATACTTTTTTATTATTATAATTTATATGAAAAGGCTAAACATATGAATGGATGCATAAGAGTCGATAACTATTTCAGATCATTATTATAATTTATATAAAAATTGCTAAACATAATTGAATGGATGCCTGCATCGCTATTTCGCCACCGACTTATCGCTAAAGCATAACTTCATCTCGTTGGTTGTTCAAACGTAATTTTCTATAATGAATGATGTCTTTCCTTTTAAAATATTCTCGGTAAAGTGCAGAATCACTCACGTATTTGTTTGCCGCTAAAAACAATTGAATTTTTGTCAATTTTCATTTACTTTATAAGTGAAAATAGGTCGATGTGTACATAGATAAAGTCAAGGTTGTGCGCAGTGCCATTTTTGTGCAATTCTAGGATTTTTTTTGAAGTGAAAATAGGTCGATGTGCACATGGATACCGAGTATGTGCAATTCTTAAAAACGCGTCAAGCAGTGGGTGATTCTGCACTTTACCCAAAATTCTATTGCCAAGTTTTCGTCATGGGCAATTCCCAAATTGTTAAATCCATAGGATATCAAAAAAGGATTTAAAATCAAAAAAGGATTTAAAAATTAAACTCGTATTTTAATGGCGTCTTAAGAAATATAGAACTATATAAACTTAACGCAATCTGAAATCAGCACGTACTCTAGATTTGGCGCGCTGTTAAATGGGCGCGTTTGCTAGTTTTGGCGCTTTTGCGCGTACATTTTCGCTGCAATTTTTTTTACGGCCCTCGAAACCAAATAGTACTCAGTGTATTATTTGAAAGTGTGATAGAAACAAAGATCTTGCTTTCTGTAACACACCAATGGGGGGGGGAGGAACTGAAACGATCAAATGTCTCCATTGAGAAAAAAGATCGAATGCTGCAACCGTCATAAGATACGGAAGGAAGTTTTAAAAGAGATGTGCAGATATGAAAACAAAAATAGAAGTGTCCAACACTTTGTTACCACTATTCCTTTCCGATATAATGCTATTTGTCAAGCAGAATGTTACGGGGGGGGTAGAATTTCCTCTTAATCCGAGCTTTGATCTGTATGAGGAGAACAAACATAAAGACAAGTGACAATTTTCATATTCCATATTTGGTTACTTCGTTCTGAAATATCCTTAATTGTCCTTTTTCGTGGGAATTCGCTAGCACTATCTGCGCACGACCAAGGTAATCACATCTATTACTTTCAGAAATGAAAAATTTACTCGCCGTCATAACTTAATTCCACTTCCTGGTGAATACGCCTTTCACGTGTAAACGGGGATTTTTTTTTTTCTGTTAAAAGTCTCATCCTCCGCCCAGAGGTTTGTTTCCCAGGGAAAAAACAGGGATGAGTTCAAAAGTTAAAATCGATTTTTAAAATAAAATTTTCGGGATTGAAAAGAATCCCTGC